GAAGCAAGAATAACACCTCCCAAAAAACCTGCACCACCGTGCTAACTGCACCCATGCACACAGTAGTCCTCCCCTGCAGACAGCGCAAGACTGCACAGCTGCAATCTCCCATGCATCACCTCCAGATTGTGTGTGAGCGTTACAGCGATAGTTTGGAATCGATAAGCAGTTCTCATACACAGCAAGTTGTGGTAAACCTCTAGCACAACACCAGTGGTACAAGGCTAGAGGAAATGAAGTAAGCAGCAGCCCAAAACAGAAGGAAGGAAGGATTTAGGTCACCCAGGCTCTACCTACCACTTAACTTCCCTCTCTTCGATAGTATACCTGGCATCTGCAAGCTGCTGCAAGAAAAGTTACAGGAATCTGAGCAGAAAGCTCTATCACACCTTGTCCCTGTGCAACAATTCAAGTTCACCCTTTTAACCAGGCAGCATCTACACGCATTTCAATCACTGACAGCATAAAGCTGTGCACAGTGATTGGGTTTAGGCTCCAAAACTCATATCCCATCTCAGCTCATCACAGCTCAGAAAGCGTGGCCCGGAGAACGCAGTGCCAGGTTCTCCTCAGCCCTTGCACTACAAGGAAGAAATAGGAGCTTAGGGTCAGAAGCATGGAAGATACATTTGTTGTGTGTTTAAGCTGTGTTGCTGAAAATGTTCTGCTCTGCTTTGCACGTGTCTCTATTCTGTGTGGTTTTCCTTGTGTTTAAAAAAAAAAAAGCATATTTAAAGTCTACTTTACAAAACCTCAGCAAATTAACACTGATCTTTTCCAGACAATTCTTCAAATGAATGTTCTGCAAATGCCTGCTCACAGCATGCAAAGATTTAGATACGCTGGAACTGGCTTTGCAAAGGATGCTCTCTAACAAGAGGAATTTAAGCACTGATACCAGTTCAATTTGCCGCTTTTTGATTTTAATATAAAAAGAAATACTTTCTGCAAGGAAAGATTCAGCTTTCATCACCAGAACCCTAGGACAGACTTTGCAGGCTAAACCAATTCACAGATAAGCACCTTTCATAAACATTACATATTTCTTGGCTTACACAGGTTCTGGAGAATGAAAGAGCAGGCTGTGCTGACATCTGGTGGCTTTTTCTGCAGACAAAGACAGCTTATGACAATAGGGCTTGGCTTTTTGCTTTTTTTTGTTGTTGTTGCATTCCCGATGTAACTTCTCTCATTTCCTTCCAACTTACAAAGCATTATGATAAAAACATTATTGCTTCCACTGACCAGTGGACAGTGCTGTCCTATGCAAGTCCTCCTGTAAAACAACAAAGGATCCTTTGTTGTGCACTATTAGCAACAGTGTAGAAAAGGCTGCCTCTCTATTTCAATGCATATTTCTTCATGAATACAGAAAAAAAAAATGTACATTCACTGCCACAGGAAATGCCACTGTTGCATATCAGATGAGGTGCAAACCTAACCATTAAAGCACTGCAAATCAGCAAAGAAGCAAAGGGAAGAGGCTGGGAAAACATGCAAAGGTATGTCTGTTTCTCTAACTCAACGGGAAAGGTAGTAGGAAAAAGTCAATATCCTGGTAATATGAAAAGTAGCAAAGCTGTCTACTGGGCATTGTTGCTTGATTCATTAATCATTTGCAAATCTGTGCCAAGCAGCATTACAAAAAGGAAGTCATGGAAGGAGGACCAGGTGCCAACCAGAAAGACGAGCTCAGTCCGAACTGTTCAATAAGCACAAGTGTGCGTTAGCCTTAAGCACTTGTAATGCCTCCAGCCGGCTGAAGTTCCGCTGAAGCCAGAATCATGTCAGTCATGAGACAAAGAATGAATGAACATCGCATGTTCTGTTCTCTCACTCTTGATCTCTGGACAGTCAGGATTTCTGTAGCTATTAGTGTCCAAGGACAGGACTCATGGATGTCCTGTCATGGCTACGGTAACTCTTGGATTGTTACTTGCCAGCTTGTTTTTAAGGAAATGATCTGCCAGGGGATGTGCTGAATACTCCCAGGGAGTGAAACAACACAGCTTACAACTTATCTCTGGATCATCTCTAAGATAGAATGTTTAGATCAGATGAAGCAGTTCCCCAACTTTAACAGTGGCACATATCAGATCTTTGAGGACTCCTTTATGCCATTGGTAAATGTCAACATTTACCTCAGCTATCTGTGTCAGCAGTTTTCTTAGCTCTTCCTTCTTCAAGAGGCAACATAACTATCTCTGGACAGAAAAATACACAAAAACTGTTGCATGCAGAAAGTATAACATGACAGAGCCTGGGAAAAACAAAATGCCTATTCCAGCAGTTTACAAGTTCAAAAAGTATTAAAATGCACCTTTTTCATACCTTTAGTGGCATAAAAAGCAACTCTACTCCAGCGTTTCTGTGCCAGGAAAGAGATTTTGTGTGTTTATTCAGTTACACCATTACTTCTTCTTCTTCATGGTAACTCCTTTCCTAATTTCCTCTCTTCTCCTTTAGTAGTTATTCTTCCACACCTCCTAACCAAAACTCCAGGCTGTTCTTTCTCCAAGAAACATCCAAGCCCCACACACATCCAGCTTCCAATTTGACTGCCTTTCCCTGCTACAGTGCAATAAGCCAGGAGGAGTTGCATCTTATTTCAGCATCCACTCTGGATGCTGTTCTTTTTGTTTTGTTTTTTTTTTTTTTTTTTTTTTAAAAGGCTCCAAGGACATCATACTGAAAGATGAATACTTACTAACCCCACAATGTCTAAGAACACCACCAGTAAAGCTTTATGATTTACCCCACTACAAATCATGGAGAAGCCACCTTTGATTAACAGTAATTGTAAACCGACGCAATTCACGACCCCTGCCAGGATAACAAACCATGGTACTAACTCTGTAGATGGTTTCCTTCACTAGGAGAAGAATTTCAAAACAACATGGGCAAAGATGTCTCAGCCTTTAGTTAGTGTTCACAGATTTTGTTTGGTACTCAGTGATCCTGGAATCAAACCTACTTTGAAACAAGGCTTTACTATATCCTACCGAAAAATGTTGGAACAGCATCCATCTAAACAAGTTCTCAGTTATTATCTATAGTTTTGTGGTGTTTATTTGAAAGAAGTATTATTAAAGGTCCAATTAAAAAAAAACACAGTAGAAAAACACTTCAGGAAGAATCCAGTTTACAAGTGTGGTCATTGAGAGCACTACAAAAGGCTCTACTGTGCTGCTGCAGAAAGGAGCCAATGAAGCGCCACTGCCAAAGTGAACGGAGCTCACAAAGCAGTAGTTTAACTCTTCCCTTAGAAAGAGAAGCTAGTCTGGAGTGCCAGCCACATCGTTCTTGAATATTTGCATTAAAACACTTACTGTTTTCTTGTTGATGCTGTAGAATTGCTCTTTCACTGTGCCACACTCGATGTACCACTGAACTGTACTAGTCCAGAAAGGACAGTTATCAAAATTTGGAGACACTTTCAAACATAAATGCCTTAGAGAAAAGGTATCACAAAAACAATCCAAATCTGTCTGAAAGGGCTGGAGACCAAATTCAAATCCCCAAAACAGGAGGAAGAGTATGAGTGTTTGCTCAGTCTGAGAGCCTGAGTGTGCTGACAGATATCATTTACATGCCTTGGAAGGACAGTCTGAGACATTGATCTCTCCAGTATGCCATCTACTTCTTACAAAGCTACCTTCATTACTGTAAATTTGGCTGAACAAAGCTGGTGTGCTCTGGAGGGCAAGGTATTAGCCTAAACTGTCTGAGAAGATGAGTACAAACTCCTATCATCAGCCAGATTAATCTGGCAAATATGACAGGCTATGTAAGAAAGTAACTGAGACATGGGCCCATGTATGGGGAGCAGGTACCAGCAACAGAAAGGTGACTTGGACAGAAAGAGGAAAGTGGTAAATTCTCCCCACAAATTTATCAGAGTATGCATAACCACATCTAAATCCCAAGAGACCACAGGTGACTTCAGTGACACAGGATGACTCCTTACAAGTTAAAGATACAATCAGCCTTTTAATCACAGATGAAAAAGTGGTATACTACTTTCACAAGAGAATAAAACTCTGAAGCAAAGCTGTAGGTGAGTAACATCAGCTACTGAAACGAGCCTAAACCAGAGAGTTGTCAGGAAAGATGAAGAAAATGAAGTGGGAACTATATAGAGAGGTTTCTTTGGCCCTACATCTAAAGTAAAGAGAACTTTTATTTAGATGTGTTGGAAATCACACATCTGCTCTCACTGTCACTTGTCAATAAAAAAAAAAAATCATCAAAGCTCTAGGAAACGGTAAGCTTACTTGTCTGGAAAGTCTCTAGTGGAAATGGTGGTGTCACCTCTCACCCAGAGCTGAGGGTCGATGTGTGGGTCTAAAGCAAATGCACATGAGATGTCATCTGATTTAGCAGAGCCTATGCCCAAAAAGCCTGCTAAGGCAGAGAGCCAGCATCACTTCTATTTCAGTGAAGAGAGGCTCAGAGGTGCAGTGAACCATCTTGGTAACCCCTAAAAAGCAGTATCTAGCTAAAGGTACTTTATTGGATGCATGACCAATTTTTCTTATTCTTGAATTAGTTAATGTAGTAGGAAAACCAGGAATTACCAAGAACTAACATGTAGCAATGCAGTATTTGGCTCTTGGAAAGCAGGAAAGAATCAATTCCAGTCTTGAACTCATGTGGCTCACAGACCGGGCCTCTCCTCTCAAAGATGAAATCATTCAGGTTTTATTCTTAAAACTGAAACCATGAGTTTTCACACCATTTGGAAAAATGCCCAATTCCTATTTATACACACTGATGTCCTGGCAGAACTCAGGTTACTGCCTCTTATGTGAAGGTGTTTCCATGAAGTAAAGCTAAGAACAGGCAAGCTTCCACGCTAAAGAGGGCTGGAAAAGACTATAAAGGAAAGTGAAGAGCATGAAACACTTGCCAGTCTGCACCACTTAAACAAGAGACCAAACATAAAATGACTTGAAATAGAGAGATCCTTTTCTCAAGCTCTCTAAAATACCAGTGATTTGGTCATAAAATGTTCCTATTTTCATTAGAAGTTGGTACCGTGATAGGATTTTACTGTGCATTGTATAAACTCCATACATAGTTAATGTCTGCTGTAGGATCACACCAAGAATGTGTGCCACAGGACAGATTTCACTGCCTGCATTGTAAGAGGCAAGCAAAGGAAATATAAATGCAAGAAAGAAAAAAGTCATTTATGTCCCCCAGTTTTCCTTCTCTCAGTCTTAGCATATTGACAGAAATTAATTTCTATAGGAAGGGAATTGCACTGTTTGCAAAGCAATCCTCTAGGATTTATTGATCTTTAAGAAAAATCTCATTAAGCAGAATAAGGAAAATTTACAACAGGTATGGGAAAACAAAACAATCTCTTGGGATCTTCACCAGGCTGAAACAGGATTAGCTTTGTAGTTTCTGTAATCTTCCTCACAGAAGAATGCTAATTCAGTCTCATTTGCTAGAACAAATAAAAAATTAAATATTTAGCACACCAGTAAATGAACCACCCAACAGCCAGCTATTCAGAATCTTAGAAGACAATTGGCAACTTTTTGGTCAAAGACAATTATAAATCACCACAAACTTTTTTCTCCCCCCCTCATATTTTTGCAAAAGAGATTCCAGTATTAAATAGGTTGTTTAAACTTGTTAAAAAAAAAAAAAAAAACCAAAAAAAACACCCCAAAACCTGAATATATAGAAGTAAATATGTACACAAGCCCCCTCCAGATTTAACACAGCCTTCAGAATTGTTTGTATAAGCATTCAGCAAATTAAGTGACTGCATTTCTAACACCTTCAAATGCTAGAAAAATTATGAAGTATGATTTTCTCTTTCTTTGTGCATTTTTCTGTTAGGAAAGGGAAAAAGAAACTATTTTTTCCATTAAATTAGCCTGTAGGTATAATAATTTAATACTTAGAGGATCAGTAGAATATTTTACAGATCACTTTACATTCTCCCTCATGACCCATCAAAATATGTGTCTGAAGAAGTTAATTTTTTGCCCTACTGATGATTAATTCATGAGGCTTCAACAATATGCAAAGTGAAAGACACAAATTGGCTTCTCCAGCAATACTTTCAAATACCTCTAATTATTCACAGGGGATATGGCAGAGCTAAAGGACCCACAAAGGTTCAGAGCAGTCACAATTCTTTCAACCCAGTAGGTCAAGGACTTCCTCTTCTAAAACAATAAGTCAGCAACATTACTAATTCAGAACAGACACAAATCTGATGGAAAGCCTTCACAATTATTAAACATGGAATTCTTTAAGGTGCTGAGCCAATAAGTTCCACATTCGTTTTTTAAATTAAACCTGAAGTTAATGAAGTCTGCTTGTCTTGTAAAAAAAAAAGAGCAGAAGGGTTTTTAGAATCTCAACTAGAAAACAGGCAAGGCTGTTTGCAATGAATACCCAACACTTTATTAACATGCACTCTGCTTTAAAAAAAACAAAAAAAAACAAACAAAAAAACCCAAACCGAAACAGGCAAGCATTAACTTTGCTGACTAGATAATAACTGTAATAATAATCACTACCACAGAGGCTTTCCTGAGGATACTTACCTAATGTGCTCATAATTTATAAGTCTCTAGCCCAACCCTGTAGTGCCAAGGGCAATCAACTGCAGCTTAGAAAAAAATGTTCTGCTCGTCTCAGAATTTCCCAGATTTTCTAACAGTAATTCTCTGTTTTATTCTAGTAAATCTTTTCCAGACTAGATATTGGAAAATGTAATATGTCAATAGGAGGTTTCAAATCTTCTTACTGATTTAAATGAAACTGTACAAAATGAGAACTAGTGCTATATGCTATCATACTTCACTTCCTTGGTTTACTCTTTTCCACTTCTTGTTGAAGAAAAGTAAAATCAAGATTTTACTACAAAGACCCCACTCCTACCTTAGCTAATTTTCATATCAAGATACACTGGAACATATCAAAATTCAAAAAGGCATAATGGCATGCTGCATTTTACAAACCAAGAGTTTTTCTTTTCTATCACAAATACCCACCATATACTCATGACTAACTGCTGTTAGTTATTCTGAAAAAAATAAAAAGCACCTTTAAATTATTTTCTGCCCTGAATAACCCACCCCTCTCTTTGCACAGAGACACAGAACAGGCTGGTCTATTCTGATTTCCTTTCACTGTAACATTTACTCTGATGTTTTGACTCCTTTTTCAAGATCAATTCCAACTGTTTCACTGCTGTAGCTACAAACCTAGTTTCGAAGATGGATAATATATACAAATATTTATCAATACCTTTTTGAAAGAAGGAAGCTTTGGACAATGTAAGTTCTAATTCAACATTTGGCACTGTCATAAGTCCATTTCCTGAAGTGCATTGCCTCTTATGCATTAGGTGGATAAATATGACGTTTAAATGAATCTTAGAGATTTGTAATTTAGTTAGCAGAAGACTTGAGTGTCAGTAATCCTCCTTCCTGAGGAACCTTTTTTTCTTCTCCAGATAAAAAGACCTGGTTTAGTACAAACAGCCAGAGAGTAACTATCGTTCATATTACAGGAATGCACAAAGACCTT